GTGTTGCTGCACGGCGCTTTTCAGGGACGCCTGACGAAACAAGCTCCCTGCAGAGCCAGGATTTCCGATCTGGCCACCCTACGCATGCTGCGCCCGCGAACGCCTAGGCCTTTGCAGGGCTCAGCTGTGCTGTGTCAGGTGGAGCTATAGCAACTTAATAGTAACTGTAGTAACTTTCGTACAGGGCGCCAATTGTCACAGGCAAGGGTTCAGAGGGCAGGACCATCAAGGCACATATCTCCTCTGCCCAGTGAGTTTTGCTACTATGATAACTGACTCTCCCTTCAGAAGCTGGGAGTCCGCAATGCAGAAGGCTTAAGAGACTCAGCTGGTGATGTCCACAGTGCCAGTGGCAGCAGCAGGATTTGTTTCATGGCCTCGGGTGCCAGATGCTTCAGAAGTGGCGAGCCTGGCGAGCTGGGATTAAGTGGGTCATCTACCGTTGCTAGGCCATCATGCGACAAGTCAGACCTCCTGAACCTCTCCACGACGTACCGGTTGACTGCCACCTCCTTTGGCCTTGGCAGCCTTGGCATTTCTGAGATTTTCTGAGTCTGAGGCCTTCGTGACCGTGCAGGCCTACGCCATCTCGGCCAACTTGGCGTCCATCCCAATTTTCTCCATTCTCAGGCGCGGCAACCTGATCGAAAGCAAGCTTGTGGGCCGCAAGGCCACAGTCCTTGCAGAAACACTTCGCGTCCGTGTTATGCAACGGTCCCTTCAGGTCGCCGGGGCAGCTGCAGTGCTTGTTCCCTTTTGGGTGTCCGTTCTGCTCTACACGGGCGAAGGTGCGGAGTTAACCTTTCCTGCCCTAGCCGCTTCTCGCTGCTTAGCTGTGCTGTGTCAGGTGGAGCTATAGCAACTGTAGTAACTTTCGTAACTTTCGTGCAGGGCGCAAATTGTCGCAGGCAAGGGTTCAGAGGGGGTCGACAAGTAGGGGTCGACAATTCAAGACTGGAGGCACTCGAGCCGTTGCATTGTATAAGACCGAATCAAATGTACTGCGTTGGTGTTATGACTAAGCAAGCGTGCAGGAGGAGTTGCGAAGGCCAACGGAAATAAGGAGCGATCGGGCGATGCCATCAACGAGGTGTCGAAGTTCCCCAGCCATCCAGCTCTTCGGCCAGCCTGATGCAGTTTCCCCTTATTCAACTCGTCATAGCCTGACCAACCGATCAGTTTCGTCCGAGTCGGCTCAAAGCTACTTCAGTACTACGCAGGCTTCTGTTTCCACATGACATCTTGCATGCCATGAAGGCCACGGGCGACGACGTAATGGATAAACGTTGATGCGGCACATGCTTGCACTACCCGCCAGCAACGTGGCAACGCTGCCAATTGCATCGCCGTCGTTCCCTCCTTCGTCAGTGTTCATTGTCAGTTGTTCAACGGATAAAACGCGAGGATCCTATGAAAAGCCTGCTGGCACAAAGTGGCAGATTGGGAAGGAGGTTGGCATGCTAGGGGAGAAACCCGGTCTTCTCGGGAGGTGCCTTGTGGGGTCCAAGAGAATGGCATGTTCTCTCGCAAAGGTTGCGAGGCGCTGCAGATGCCAGAGGAAACCTCTGCAGCTCAGAGGCCACCGGCACTTCTTTGAGAGGCCGCCCCCTCTCTGCCCTCCGACTGCTACGGGAGATGACATATAGTCATATAGCTCCTGTAGGGGCATGTGTCTTGCAATTCTGCGCTTTGGCTTACACTCGAATCAGCTAGCACACACTGCGCTCGACACCCGATGATGCATGCGTCCACCCTGCATCAAGGCTGAGAGCATGGCCGTAGGGTGAACCCCCCGACACCCGCTCGAGTCTCCGGCGTCCGGCGACAACTCCAGCAGGCCCAGCATGCCCAGCCTGCATGCCCTCGGGCCGCAGCAGGAGCTTGATGGACCCAAGGGGCCAGCTGAAGGACCCAAGGGGCCAGGCAAGACGAAGAGCACGGAAGAGGCAGAGTCTCAGACCTCAGAAACTGCACACACGGAGGAAGCTCTGATCTGATGCTGCAGCCCCTTTCAAATCTTTCAAGTGCCTGCAAGGGTGGCAAATACAGGAGCAATGCTGCACATCATGGCAGTTCAAAGGGCTTGGCTTTTCCTCAAGAGAGCTCCTGGCTTGATTGATGAGCACCTTGAATGCTTGAATTGGTGTCATTCGTCTTTCTCGTGTGCTCGGTTGGTTGGTCAAAAAATCACGCGGAAGGCGTGCTCAGACTTGGGCTGTGGCAACAGAGGCCCATAGCTGGGGCAAGACAATCCAGACCCAGGGAAGCTGTGCCGCTCCATGGCATCCATGGCGACCCCTCATCAAAGAAAGGTGACCGAAGGGTCCAAGGTGACTGAAGGGTCAACCCACGAAACGGATCCCGCTGTGCACGGAATGGGTCGCACGTAAGCGGATCGCAGTGACCCAAGGAGAAGCCAGGGAAAAGGAGCGAAGGCGGCGAAGGCCCCTAAAACATCTGACGTGCAGGCTCCTCAGCCTGCACACGCGGCGCTTCGGCACAAGGTCGCCGCAAGGCCGCCCCAGCCCGGAACGTGACGAGGACGCTGAGCTCTTGCAGCAGCGCTGTGTGGGGCCCATTCCTGGCTGCCACCGCAGGATCGAGGACCATTTTTTGGACCCTCGCCATGCAACTGCCTGAGGCGGGAATGCGACTGCTCTTCAGGAGCCGTAAACGACACCAAGACCCCTCATAAAGTGACCCTTAAGAACCCTTTGGAACCCAGGCTCAATCTGGGAACACCCGAGGCCCTAAACCCTAAGATCTGACTCAGCCCTTGGCCCTGAGTGCACCTCATGGACAGCTCCTATATATTCTGATCCGATTGGCTGCGCTGACTCGTGCCACACCAGACATACCAGACATACCAGAATGCCCTCCCAAGCCAAAGGTCCCGCAAGGGCAGCGCAGCATTCCCAGCAGTGGCCCCCCCTTGAAGGCGGGATGGAAGGCCGCCTCGGCTGCAAGCGGTCACCGCAAGCGCAGTCCGGTTCAAAGACAGTGTCCGCGAGCTGCGCGAGATGGTGCGCACCACGATTGACAACCGCGACGTGTCAGCAAGTGTCGACAGAATGGATGAGATCAAGCGCCAAAGTGATCCCGCCTTCTCGGGTCGTGGGCCTGCGCGGCAGGCTGGTTCTGCAGCCAGCGTCCTTGCGTCCCGGCAGCGCCGTTCTTTCGTTGGGCCTTTCGGTTGAGGGCCCTGGGGTGCCTGGCTCTGCTCACTGAGGGGGGGCATTGCTCCGTACATCTGTCGCCACTCGTCGACACGAAAAGTGAAGCGACGCAGCTTTCACGGCTGACATAGAATAGGAAGAATGCAGCAGAATGCATCTCGGGTCTATTTGCACGGGCACTGCGGACCGCACCACACACAGGGACTAACGGCTCGGGCGCGGAAAAAACTCGCGTAGTGATCCTGGAAATCCCTGGCATCGGCAAGACTTGGCTGGCATGACGCGCAACAGTGGGAGTGCAACGCACACAACTGTGGGGAGTCAAGCGGAATCACCCTCGGCCTTGCGGCTTTCTTGGCCCTCGCAGATGGCTCAAAAACGAATGTGTGAGTGCGCTGTTCGACGCCACAAAGGCCTGGCGGCCTGGCTCGTGGTGCTCTTAGCATGCCCGATGCAAAGCAGCTGCGACGGCGGTTGATCCAAGCGCACGGGAGTGCGGTCCAGCTTATGCTTATACTACCTCTGGATCAGAATGGAGGAGCTCAGGCTGAGCATCTCAAGGAAACATTGCCCCCTCCAAGGGATTTTCAAACCTTTGGCACTGTGAAACACTGTGAAGGACAACTCTGTTGTGCTCCCAGCTGGAAGCGTGGCAATTGTTGCTTGTTGGGGCCCAAGTTGAGGCCCTTGAGGCTTGAATCAACAGCAGTTCTTGGAGTTCTGGCCGAAGCTGGCACGAGAGGCCTGGCATGTCCTGTCATCTCACGATTGGTTGTTTAGATGCATCTAAACAACCCATCACTTGCGGCTTTCGCGGCCCTCGCAAATGGCTCGAAAACGAACGACAAAGCCTGCTCTGAGTGCGCTATTCGACGCCACAAAGGCCTGGCGGCCTGGCTCGTGGTGCTCTTGGCATGCCCGATGAAAGCAGCTGCGAGTCCGCCATGCACCTGTGGCACTGTGAGACACCGTGAAGGACAACTCTGTTGTGCTCCCAACTGCGAGCCTGGCAATTGTAGGGAAGAGATTGGAGAGATAAAGATATTTTCGCATAAAGATCTTGCAGATATCCAGGACAATCTCTGCAGGCACACTTGCCGCAACGTTATCAATTAGCTGGAATGGGTGCTGTCCTACTGCTGCAGGAGAGGGAGCAGCAGTCTAGAGAATCTAAAGTCTTACGGAGCGGTCGTATCTTAGGGCACCAGACAGAAACCAGCTGCGGAATCCTGAGTTTTTCTTTAGTGGGGTCCTTGCGTGGGTTTGCGGTTTCCTTCAGCGTTCCCTTGGTTTTTGGCACAAAATTTTGTTCGCTTGTGTTTTACTCACCACATAAAGATCCGACGATGTTTTCCCGCCAAGATTCCCCTGCCTAGTGGTGGTGCAATTAAGGCACGACACCTACGGAATCCCCACTGGGCAGTCATGACACCCCCAAAATGAGCCCGACACACGAACAACAGATGCCCATGCGAGCATGTAGATGAGATAGCTCCTTCCTGGAAAGGCTGGATGATGGTGGGCGCAGATCCCCGGTGATAGGATCTTTGTGTTTATGTGGCCTGTTGATCCCCGAAATAATTGTTGAGTCTGGCTGGGGCCCAAGTTGAGGCCGTTGAGGCTTCAATCAAAAGCAGTTCTTGGAGTTCTGGCCGAAGCCGGCACGAGAGGCCTGACATGTCCTGCAGGGCATCTCATGAAGGCGCGATTAGATGCATACGCAACATTGGGAGAATAAGTACGAGAGACAGACTTCTGGGAAGTTCGGCCCAGCCCACTTCACCAGTTCACCGCTCTTGCAAAGCCAAATGCGTGCCGGGGGTCTCAGTCTCGAACGCAGTCCCAGGCTGAAGTGGCCGGGCTCGGGGATGTGCAGACCCAGAGGTCGTCGAGCTGGTGCGCGTGGAATGCAGAGCCAAGGGGTGGGACCGCTCTGCTCTGCTTGATCACTGCACTCCCCTTGCCCTCACCTGCCCTCACATGCGAGTGACAGGCTGCGGGTGGCGGCCAAGCCTAGCACCAAGCCTAGCATGCCCCACCTTAACAGCACTTTGAGGCGATGGGGCGCACAGCAGGCCACTGCCACGGGCGCTCCCCCAGCTCCTGCGAGCTGCGAGTCCGCCGTGAAGTGCGATGCCAGGCTGCGGAGGCGCGGGCTGCATGCCAGCGCTTCCCACTGAGCGAGGCCAGCGAGGCTCACAGCGGAGGAATTGGCGGCTTCCATTGGATTTTTAAGCATGGCAAGGCCCTGGTGGCCCTAGTTGCCATGCTCAAGACTTCCGGGATATGGTGGCACCTTGGGGCACTTTGGTGATCTGGGCCGTGTCAAAGTCGGAGCGCACTTGAAGAGGCTAACAAGGTGGAGCTCCCCCAAAAACACATGGAAGGTCATGGCATGATCAGAGACATTGATAGAGAGCCTTCATGAGCTCCGTGGGCCTCCATACCGGTCTATACCGTCACGTCTGGAGTTCGCTTCCGTTTCAAGGAAGGTGGGCAAAACCAAGTGAGGGAAGCGCGGTGCTGACAAACCCCACCCCAACGGCAAGCGGCACACGCTCTACCTGCACAAGGCCTGGGGGGCCTGGGGCCTTGCAGCTTGCCGCAGGTGCAGCGAGTTCCAAAATTGGGACGAGGTCGTGAGTTCCGGCTTCAATCGCGTTGGATTGTGGGAACCCTTGTGTGCGATCGCAATGTCAATCTTCAGCTGCACCTGCCACAAACCAACGCCACTCGTCGAACTCGTGTCTTCACGCAGACATGAAGCTCAAGCTTCCCCGCAGCCTGCGTGAGAGGAGGCGTTCCGTCACATCGGTTGCATCACGAGCAGGTGCCTCAAGCACAGCAACTCGAATCAACCTCGCAACCCCAGAGAAAAACAGAGAACAACTACCTTCACCAAGCTTCCGAACATTTCCGAACTCTTTATGGCCTCCTAAAGCAGAAAGAAAGCAGCTGAGCAGGAAGAATCGCAACGGCAGCAACTTAAGGGCAGAGGAAGCAGGAGCAAAGCAGCAAAGCACCTCCTGCCGGGGACGCCCAGCTGCGCCGGCACCTGTTCTGTGCGATCCCCCCCCCCCGAGTACTCGAACCCCCACCGAGAAAATAGCAACATTAACCGCACTTGGGCTGAATGATTCAATGCGGTTTGAGGGTTTTAGGCCTCACTTTTCATCGTGCGGCTGCGAACGGGCACTCGTGACGGCAAACGAGCGGGATGTTGCTTTTTTCAAGTACGATCTCAGGCCCATGGTCGATTGTCAGCGACCTCGGGGTTGAGGCCTTGAGATACTTAGATACTTGCCGGTCCAACTCTCATTTTGCCATGACAAAGCCCTCCCAAATCCTATACCATGCACACAAGCGCCCCGGATGAAAGATGTCTCCCATGCTAGGAGCTGCTGACAAGAGGAACGCTGTGCCCCCGCCATGGTCTCTTTTCCCCGATTACGATATCGAGGCTATCACGGCCTTCTGAGGGCACAAAACGCCCCCTTTAGCCACAGGCACGTCATCGGGAAGCTGCGCTGCTGGCACATCTGCGACTGCGGACAGCTCAGTGACGCGCAGGCCGGAGGTGTCTCCATGGCAGCTTGATGCAGCTTGGCCTCTAACGAAAAAGTGACTCTTGAAAGGGCTCATGGCTACATGATGTGTATAGAAGCTTAATCGAGTTGATTAGAGGGGTCACAATGGTCACTACATGGGCTTTCATGTTTGCAGGCTATGTGCTTCCTTGCAGTAATAGTCGGTAGCCGCGCTAGTAACTGGCAGTCTTGTTGCGTGCAAGCATGTAGGCACTTCGATCCACTCTTCCATAACAGCTTTTGACGGGAGGTTGGCGCTGCTTCGGTTCATGCAGCCATCTGAAGCCTGGTGTTCCGAGCATAAACGTGGAAGGCGGCAGAAATCGAACAGAATATTGCAGAACTCGGCAGATGCAACGCAAGCAAGGGTGCGCGCAGGTTTTCCTCGTTATCGGTCCATATCTTGGCCTTTCTTCGTACGCTGTATCTGGTTTGCCACTGCTCGGACCTGGATCCAAGACAAAACTTCAACTGCTGTCACTGCTGTCACTGCACTGTGCTGGATCTCTGAGTCTCTGAGCGGCGGGGCCGTCTTCGGATCCGCTTTTGCTGCCTCAGAGGTGCCGTGATGATGCCGTGGACCCATGAGTGCACACGCAGACGCAAGGATGGACATGTCTGCTTGCAACAAAAACCAACCTCCGTGAGCTGCGCCGCGTCGATCAACGCTTGGTCCCTCCTGATGCGCGCACAAAAAAAAGCCTGGTCTGTCATGCGCCACTGAACACATATGGCCGACTTGTGGCCACTGACAAATAGCGTTGTCAGTCAAGGGACGAAGACCGAGTAGGTCCGCGAATGCACATGACACCTGAGTACACAGCTGCCTCAATGGCTGACAAGGGCTAACACTGACCTTCCATGCCGCTCCCCATGCTCTGGGCCATCAGCGAGGTCGCCCAGAGTGGTTCACAGCTTGTGTGCCAGCCTGGCAAAGAGCCGATGCTGCCAAGCTGATGAGACGATGCTTTAGGCCATTTCTCGGTGTTGAGGAGTTGACTCAAGTTGCCTGGTAAAACACCAAGGGCGAAGCTTAGCACTCCAACCCCTATGCACCTCGCTGGCAAGCGCTCCGCTGACCCCCCTGCTCCATACTCCCGCCGACAAGGTTCAAAAAAGGCAAAAACTCCAAAGAAAGCTCAGCTTTGGCAACAGGTTTGCAAAGACACTGGCTCAAGGCTTATAACTACGAGACGCAAAAAAGTGATTCAATGTGAACCAAAGTTTTGCGCTGTTGATTCCAGCGCTGCCATAGCATCCGGCAGTCACAGAAGCAAGGGCTAAGTCTTAGAAAGCCGGATCCCTTGGTGTGCCTGTGGTAAGTCACAAGAATATGTCACTGATCGGAGCCCGTTTGTTGATGTGTGGGCACCGACGGGACGTGGGGAAAGGGTTTTTTTTCGCTGCCAAGGCGGCGGGACGCGGGGCCAGGACGCGGGATGCCACCCCCCCCCCCCGCTCCAACTCCAATGCATTGTGTTGGCCAACGGGGGCGCAGCCGCCTAGACCCTCCAAACACCCAAATCCTACACACCTCACCTCTCAGCATGCGTGCCACGCGTGCCTGTGGCACCAGGATTTCGGCCTGGTACGTCGGATCTCCGGTGTTCATGGGCGCCCCTGTTCGCACCTGACAACGGAAGAAGCCTTCCGGGTAAGTTTCGAGACAAGGCATGGTTTGTCTGTGCCGGCGGCTATGGCCACATTGGTTTCCTCGACCTGGGGAAAGTCACTGAGAACCCTTCTCTTCAAGCACAGAAACCCTGCAGCAACACAAAGGAGAAGCCGGAGAAGCAATACTTGCCATCAATTGCATTGAATTGGGGCATGGAAGCTCCAAAAGCCAAAGCTCCGACGGCATCACCCAACTCAATGACCTTGGCCTCAGAACCAGGGCAGCCCATCTTTGCCTCAACCCTAATGACACCAAACCTTCGCACTCGGCTCACATGTCTGGCGCTCTGTCTTAAGATGATTTTCACTGATAAGCAGAACAAGCCCAGTACTGGAATCGCCTCAGACCCAGGGAGCGTTTCAGAGGAGGAAGAGCCTGTTGTTATGGCTGGATCCTGGTCTGTGGGATCATACACTTTGCTCAGTCTCACCTGATGCTTCTCGTGTTCCCCACGCCTAGCTGAACTCGCCATGGCAAGTTTTAGCAAATAAGCTTGCAGCGAACCGAACTCCCCCCCCCCCCCGCACTCCCCCAGTCCTCCGTTCTCCTCATCGGCGTTCAGTTGACGAATGTGGAGCAGACCCCGTTTTTCTGCGGTATGCCCCTCGCTTTCGGCTGGGGTGTGCTACATTGGAATGTTCAGGAATGGGTTTTCAGTCAAGAATCCCGGAAGATTCCATGAAGAGCCTGTTCTCTGCTCTCCTTTTGTTTCCTTTCACCGTGTTTTGCACCTTTCTCATGCTTTCCCAAATGTTCCCCCGTTAACTCTTCTCTCTCTCTCTCTCTCTGAGAGTCCCCCTCTCTCTGCTTGTTGGTGCTCTATTGTTTTTGCCAAGGACATAGACCATGATCTCCCGAGTGTCGGATGGTGAAAGTGGTTTTGCCAAGCGTCGGGAGGGCCCTTGGCTGCGGACTCCCCAGCCTCCCAAAAGCTCAATACGAGGCTCTGCTCTCTATACATGGCAGTTGAAGACATGAAGGGAACGGAAAAAAAGAGGCCTCTGGTGGTGGCGCGCATGGATTATGTGAATTATGTGCACTCCTGCTGCGGCTGCTCACAAAAAACGCGGCCGCCTCTCGTGCCTCGCGAGACTTCAGCTTGGCGACTCGTGACCTGCTTCTCTTCGGTGACCTGCAAGAGCAAAAACATCTGCGGCAGCTGATCATGTGATCAAACGAATTCCATGTCTTTTTCAGTTGTAAATCGTAACGCATCCTCTCCGAACATCTCGGAACTTTTCTATTCAACCATTTGCAACCTTTTTTCTGCACGGCGCTTCGCAAGCCTACGCAAGCCTACGCATCAAGGCCTAGGCGAGAAACGGTAGACTCGATGCGCCCTGTCTTCGTCCAGGATGCGCTGGGCGGTCCAGGTGAAATGCTCATGCTGACCGAAGCGACGCCCGGAGTGCCAGTTTGTAAGGTCTGCGCCCAGTGCTTCATCCAGCTGCTTAACGCCTTGGCGTCTGTCGGGTTCCCCTGTGATAAGGACAGCCTCTTTGGCCCGGGCAGTTTGCAAGAAGCGGCAGATGGTGCCGAGCACGCTCGCGGCGTGATCAGCGTCGTAGATGATGTCAGCACCTAGAAGGAGATCAAAGGTCTCATCGTCCAGGTCGGCAGGAAACACCCCCGAACTCACAGCGTTCCAGTCCAGATGCAGTGTAGAAACTTGATCTAAGGAGTTCAGCGCAACAGAGCGCTCACAAGCCTTCAGCAGCTCCTGGTCGTAGTCGCTGAGAACGACTCTTCTGGCCCCAAGGCGTGCGCAGGCCAAGCCAACGACGCCCAGCCCGCAGCCCAGCTCCAAAACCGCCTTGCCAGACACGTCCAAACGGGGATCCAAACACGCTCCGTGCTGGCGTCCTGGCTGGCCTTCTCTTCCCTCTTTTATGACCTCTTCCGCTTCCGCCTCCTCTGCTGCCTCTGCTGCCTCTTCTGCCTCTTCTGCTACTTGGACTCCGGCTCCAAGCAACTTGAGCGCCGCGGTCGCACCGTGCCAGATGAAGCGGCCGTCGGCCATGGTCCAGTCCACCACGTGGTGTCCCACGGAAAGCTTCAACTCATGCTCACCCGGCTCACCCCCACTTTTAAAAGGGACAAGGAGGACCTCTTCCCTCCTGGCAGCAGAAAGCTCCTCGATCAGCTCTTCCGCCAAGCTTGCTACAGGACCGTCTTTCATCAAGAAGCGGCAAAGCCACGTCGTCATGTCCAGTCCCAGCTCTTTCGACACCCTGGTGTTGAGCTGCTGTGCACGAAGGGCACGCTCGCCCTTCCATCGCTCCCTCTCTCGCATCTTCTCCAAGATCTCCGCAAGGCCTCCGCAAAGCGCCCCAACGTCGCCTGCACGAAAAGCCATCGCGGCTCCATGAACAGCTTCTACAGCTTGTTCCTCCTCGTCCTCGTCGACTTGCATGGAGGCAAGCCACGTATACTGCTACCATTTCTATCATGCTTTGACTTCTCTACTAGCTTCTATACACTTCTACTGCCTGGCAACTACCTGGACATCACTGCTGACTGCTGCTTAGGGTGTTTCTGCGTGCGCTGTGATTGACCACTGGACCATGTCAACCAATTTGCTTTCACAGCGCAGCTGCTCTGTGAAGAAATCCCTTCGCCTCTCTGATGGGACCCACATAGATTGCAATAGAACGCCCTGCTGTTTTTCTGTTGCAATGTTACGGGCTTTGCTTCGAATCTAGAAAGCTGGTCCTGAAAGCCAGCATTCATGTACAGCTGTCATGAAGACTTCTGCTTGTTCGCGTGCTACACATCTGGCTGCAGTTTCATGAAGCGTCGCATCCGCCTCGACAACGCTTTGCCCCGCCCACGCTTTCGGGGGGACGACTTCTGGCCTGGAGCACAAGAATGGCTTACACTCTCTTAGTCTCTTCCCCCCTCCCCCACCATGCCCCGCGCCACTTTGAATGCCAGCCATATACGACAACTCAACGATAGCCGAATCAAACGACTGCAGTATTTTCGTCCGCGGTTGGAAACGACTGGCGGCCGCTCTTTGGGCAGCTTTGGCTTGTCAAGCGCACGAAGCAGCGTCACAGATCTGTGCCAGAAGGTCCTCACCGTGGCGGCTTGGCACGGTGGCAAGGGCCACTTGCAGACCCGAACAGCATGGCAGGTGCCGGTCCTGGGCTTTCTGCAGCTCGACCAGCTTCGCCTGGGAAGGCATCAGCAGGACTCAGCAGGCCGGAAATGGCTTGCCCACGGACCTCGCAACCTCGACGCTTCTGTCGAAGCTCCTTTTCTGGCTGCATGTGACTGGACTCGCTCTCCAACATAGCAGTCTCTTAGAGTGCTCTCGCGTCAGTCCTCAGGCTCCTGTAAGAGCTGTGGGACGAGGTCAGGCTTGTACAATTCCTCCCGCGTCTAAGGCTCTAAGATCGCTCCCAGGTGCTTTGCGCATCTAGTCGAGCCAGGCCACGGCAATGCATTCGGCATGGAGAGATTCCTGTACGGAATTGACCTCAGGTTCTTTTCTCATGGCCCCAGAAGCAAGTCATAGCAAGTCTTCCTATGAAGCGAAAACATGGTTGTTTTCTGGGGAGCGAGGCCATGAAGTGCATAATGGCCTTCGGAACAGAATCGATGATCTTCCCTGAGGAGATGCAATTGGTGCAAGAAAAAGTCTCTCACGCGCAAAGAACACCATCTTCTCTGATTGCATGTCGGCAGCTCTTGACAATCGTGAAATACGAGAGAAGCAGTGACCTCAGTAGAATCGGGAGCTCTTAAGGCATCTCAAAACTTCTGCTGATCACTGCGTTCCTCATGCTACGCGCTCACTGCGTTCCCTCATTTATGCTGGGGCCATGGGCTTGAGAAGCTCCGTGTCCATGCGCTCTTTCTCCGAGGGCTCTCCCGCAGGGGTGACGACGAGTGGCACGGGCGGCAGCCGAATCACATCCTGCAATCATGGAATGCATGCTGGGTTTGCTCGAGACGCAGCATCTGAAGAGTTGATAACGCGATTCTCCGAATGCGCTCTTTGTCTCTTTGTCCCATCCCGCTCCCGAAGCCTAGCAAACGATGCTCAACGTGAGGAAATCATATCAGCCGTACGCAGGCCCGCATCATAGATGCATCAGTGGACATGGAAGCCGCTAAGTATTCTGATTACAACATGGCTTGGCTTTTTTTCTTCCTGGCGCCTGAAGATACAGGAGGCACTGGCTCTTGCCTTTGCTTAGAGTCTTGGAGTTTCTCTGTAATTAGACCATTCAGTGCATAGTTTCCGCTGCACAACACCAGAGCGCCTCACTGTGTGCTGGCTGACGGCTTTCGGCCTCGCAATGCTCTCACGGGGTCTTCGGCATACAAGCATCTTCAAGCAGGCCACCAGCCTCAGCCGCTGGAGCTTCTGGGCGGGTTTCCTGAACACCTCAGTGCAAAGACCAGCAAAGGTTCGCGCGACTTTTTTGTCGCCATTTTGTAGCGTTCGCGACCGGCACGCCTCTTTCACTTGGCGCTTTTTCAAAATCAGGGGCAGCTGCAGGACATAGCTCGAAGGCCTCCGATGAAATCTGGATGATCCACCTGCACTTTGGGCTGAAGCAACAATACGGCCAATACGGGGTGCGACAGCGGAACTCATGGCATGGTGGAATTGGTGGAATCCCATTTGCCAGGCTGCATTGATGAACTCTCGCTCGATGCGAATCAAATTCGACACCTTGCCCAAAGCACAAAAGATGCCGAGTGCCAGACTCAGTGGCTTTGAAAAGCTGCGGGCACCATGCAGTACCGACAGATTGTGTTCGCAGAGGTTAAGGCCGAGCTGCCATGTTGTTCGTAAGCTGCAGGGACCGTCGAATCACGCCATGCGTGACCTCCAGGAGCTTCTCGCGCAGTCCTAGCATCCCAGCGTAACAAAGTCTAAGTTTAAGGGTGTGACAAGATGATAAGGCCGGAAACGCTGAAACACTGAAATAAGAGGTGAGAAAGAACATGGTGTAGAATTGCAACCCTGAACTCAGGGAGGATCATCTGTTGAATCTTTGATGCCGTCTCCCATGTGCTACTTTTGCTTGCCTGTGTGTGTGTGTGTGTGTGTTCCACGCAGAAGTCTCTAACATAGCGGCGAAACAAACACCAGGCATTGCTTAGCACCTCATGGAACCTCAGCATCCCAGAAAGAGGGGAAATGCGGGGTAAGATGTGTGAGCAAGACGTCGCGTTCGATGTTTCGACTTTTGGGCAGCGCGGTTGAGTCAACCCGGGCGGCGTAATGTCACGAGGACGCATCCCCATGCACACGGTCGATCGAGCAGCACCCCTGGCACTTGAGAAAATTGGTGTGGCATGTGACATGTGGGTCAAAATGACTAAAGGCTTGATTTTCACGACGCAGTCGAAGCTTATCCCCAAGTACACGCACGTAGCGAGCGTTGATCTTTCAAGACCTTGCTAAAGCAGAAAACGGACATGACAGCACGCGAAACCACCGACTTCTGAGCAGGATCGTTGAGCCACCAAACCAAAGCCTGAGGGTTCATCAGGGATGTTGAACGTGGCCCTGCGCGAGGCCCGCGCGAGATGTCGTGAGATAGGCGACAAGAGGCACCCCCAAAGGCGTACCCCCAGCCTTGGACGAACCCAACCCGAAACCTCCAAAACGAACCTCGGCGAAATCAGGCGACTTCGACGAAGGAAGGAGAAGGGTTTACTAAGCTGCGCTTGCCGAGTCTGATGTTCTTTCCCAGCTCCAGGCTTGCCCCCAGCGGGGTCGACAAACCCTGACCCCGAACAAGGCTCCACGAAGAGAGGGCAGCTTCAACGAACTTTATCCAAGGTTCGCGTGGCGGTCGCCCTTGGGGTGAAACCCAAGGCAGAAATTTCAATGTCATGATCATGATAAATATGCTCCGCCATATTATGTCGGCTTGGTTCCTGAACCGCCTAAAGCTTCGCCTCAACCTGCACCGTCTAGAACTGTCGCACTCAAGTAGAGGTTGTCTTTAGAAGTCTAATTAAGGGAACTCAGCTAGACTCTGAGCCCTGACATTACGAAACCTACTGCCGATGCAACCCAAAAACTCCATGGGTGCCGTCCCAACAAGCAATTCCCAAGGTCGCGCTACGGCTGGGCAATGCAGAATTTGTCTCTTCTCGACCAAGTGCCCCCGGGACGACATTATGCAGGGTTCGACTTCATCGAACCGTGCAGTACAGGCTTCAAAGGGTTCCTTCCTGGCAGTCTTGCCACGCGCCGGCTGGGGGAAGCTAGCTGAGTCACCTGTGGCATCGCCATGCATCGCCCAGAACGTGTCTAGGGCCGAGCATAAGGACACGTACAAATCCAGGGGTCCCAACAAACTGGCAAATACGCGTCGGAAGTCCTGGAAATCGCTGCAGGTCCCCAGCTTCGCTTTGCATCAACGCCTGGGCCACCAAGGTGCGTTCATGTGCGTTCGCACCCGCATTCGCACCTGCATTCGCTGTTCCCCTAGGCAACATCAGGCCAACCTCCTACAATTGAAGGGACGACTCTGGATGTAAGTCTCCTGTGTCGTCTGCGTGCTGCAAATTGCAGTTGCTGATTCATTGCAAGTGGTTTGTCCCTAGTACTGCTGGCCGTGGCTGCTGCCGCCGCTGCCGCTGCCGCCGCACATCACGACCAAAAGTTAAAAGATAAGATGTGTCATCGGAGCATTCTGCTCACAGGTACGCTGGAGCCAAACTCGTAATTGTCGCGTCCCGCGGTGGCTGTCGTGTATCTGCCACTTCTGATGATTGCGTTTCTTGACCCATTCAGGTTCAAGCCGCCTGCTGTCTGTTGGAAAGGATGACATGACTTGGGATGTTCCCCCTTTTCTAAGAGTCCTTGAAAAGGGAGTATAGTGGGGCGTACTATCATCCTTATTTAGGACTGTTAGTATTGCGGGGAACCCTAAGACATGACTTTTGAAATAAGCTTGCAATATGTAGACGTTGGAGTTTAGACTTGGGCGTTCTGCCAACCATTTGCCTGCCCGCAGCCCAGGCCACTCTGCGATGCCAACAGCTTCAGCTCCTGTAGCAACGCATACGTGAACACATATGCAAACACATCTGTGAACTTGGGCGTGTGCCTGATAAAGACCTTTCACATAAAGCTTGGGCAAGAATGCCGCACAAGGTGATGGTGCTGGGCAGAGGCTTCTAGACAGTGCGGGGCATCGTCTGCTCCGCACACCACACTCCAAAAACCGCAAACCGAGGATGGACGAGTCGGCAACCCCCGCCCCCCTCCACAGCTCGAAGAGGCTCCTCGAAGACCAAGGCCACGCACCTGCGCAAGGAACATTCGAACAGAGAGAGGCAAGAGAGCGGTCCCTTTAAGGTGGGACACTCTTGCGCCAAGCGGCTGCAGCGCTGGATCTTCCAGCTTCTGAATCTGACGCTTCACCATTCTTTCGAAGGCGATCTCTGGCACAAAGAGCCTTCGGCTTGGGGAGAATCCCTGTGTGCAGAAGGTTGGGTCATAATTCTCAGACTCAGCGAGACTCCAACGACAGTACTGTGCCGAGTAGCTGTGGCTTGGGGCCTGCAGCGTTTCTCATTGCAACGCGTATGTCCATGTCAGAGAGCCCGGTGAAGGCATCGAACTGCAATATCTCCTCTTGCGCCATGTGACTCGACTAAGACTATATGCACAACATTGTGGATTGTGGGCAACATGCTGCGCGCGGGTGCCTCTCTGCAAACAAAACACCCTAAGAGAGCACTTCGTCACTTAGTCAGCTTCTAAGTCGATCACAATGCAGCTGCCTGGCTTTCGAGATCACTTGGCCTTTGATGCGTGCTATATCGTGCTATCAACTACGATGGTACTTGCTACATGCTGCTATGTTGACACTGT